TCCTTCACCTGTAATAAAATATATCAATGGTGTTAACAGCTTTCAGTAAAGCCTGGGGGTCTTTCTACTGAATTATCAAACTTAATGGTAGTTTAGGGAAGCCTGTGTTCCACAGTTGGTGTATGAAGTCAGTCTTGTGTGGAAACTGTCCTCTAGCCTTGTAGTTGGCTCAAACTCCTCAGAAAATATTGTTCAGCAATGCAAATGAATGACACCACATGGATGAATCCTGAAAACATTATGCTAAGTGAAAGAAGCCAGACACAAAAGGCCACACTGTATTCCAGTTACATGAAATGTCCAAATTAGACAAATTCAAAGAAATACAAAATAGATTAGTGGTTGAGAGAAATAAGAAGTGATATCGTAATTATAGGGGATTCAGAGTTATTGAAAAATCTGGAGTGTGATAGTGGTGATTATTGTCCATATCTATGAATATACTGAAAACTGCTGAATTGTTTATATACATGAATTATGTCTCCTTGAAGCTGATATTTAAAAAATAACATAATATCCAGCATATTAAATAATTGAGCATAAACCTAATGAAAAATGAATAAACCTAGCCCCTACATTAAATATAACACATACTTAGGAGAAATTATAGCAAATCCAAATAAATGGAGAGACGCCCATAATAGATCTGAATACTCAATATTGTCAGTGTGTCCGTTTTTCTCAAGCTGATCCATAGGTTCAGTTGTCCTAATTGAAACTCTCATAATTTTTATTTCCCTTTGACAGTACTGGGGATTGTGCACGTGAGCCAAGTTCTCTGCTACTGAGCTGTACAAGCCCCAAAGTCTCACGTGACCATAGTGTGTGTGTGTGTGCACATGAATATGTGTGTGGAAACTGACAGGGTCTAAAATAGTATTTAGACGGGGGATATCACTCAGCGGCATGGCACTTGCCTGGCAAATGTGAGGTCCTGAGTTGGATTCCTGGTACCAAATAAATAAATAAAATAGTATGTAAAAATGCAAAACAGCAAAACTCAAGCCTAAAACAACAAAACCAAACCAAAACCAAACAAAACATAATACTGCCAGGACAATACTGACAAAAACTAGAAATTTTATGTTACTGGATATTGAGACCTACTATAAAGCCACTATACCTAAGACAGTGGTGTGAAGGTATTACTATAAAGCAACAGTAATTTAGATAGTATTAAGGTAGGGGTAGACAAATCAGCCAATGGAAATGAATAGAGAGACCAACAACATACTTACAATGAAGGTTCTTCTATAATTGAGGAACGGAAGATTGTTCTTTTGGATAAATGATATTGAAACAATTATCTGTCCACACAGAAAGTAATGAGCCTCATACAATCCACAAAAATTAAATTCAGTTGGATTTTAAATCCAAATGATTAAATTCACTAAATGTGTGGTTTTTTTGTTTTTTGTTTTTTGGTGTATGTTTTGTTTCTCAGATAAGGTCTCACTATGTAACTCAGGCTGGCCTTGAACTCACTGTAATCCTCTTGTGTCAGCCTCCCAACTGCTGGAATTACAGGCATGTACCTCCATGCTGGCCTAAAATGTGGAAAGTAAAATAATCAAACAGAAGTTCCAGAGGTTTCTTCTAAGAAGAAAGCACAGTGGAATAACTTCATGATCTTTGACTACACAAGGATTTCTTTGTGTGTGTCTCTGTGTGTTATTTCATTAGTACATTTTAGATATACATAATAAATGCATTCATCACAGAGAATTTGAACCTGTACACAATATATCTTAATTCTTTTTTTCTCATTCCCCTCCCTTTCAACCTCTCTTCCTCTCATTTACAAAAGTTTCATTTCCAGTTTTTCCTTTTTTTTCTTTTTTATTCTGTTCTCCCTTCCTCCTTGTTCCCCTTCTCTATGAACATTTTCTTTCCATTTGCCAATATCTATTATATATTTTGGTTCCTTTTATACTTTCAATTTCTCACATCAGAGAAACAATGTGGTATTGAAATACGTGTGTCTGATTTATTTCAGAGTATGATCTCTGGATACATCCATTTACTAGAAATGTCTCAAGCTTACCCTTCTTTATGGAAGAGTAGCATTGCATTATATAAAAACACCACATTTCTTTATCCATTCACCCAGTGATGGGCATTTGGGCTGTTCCCAAGATTTATCCATTACAAACTGTGTGGCTATAAACATGGGTGTGCCTATATCATCGTGGTATGATGCTTTTAATTTTTTCAGGAGGATACAAAGAAGGGGAATAGGGGGGTTGAATGGGGCCTCCAGTTTTGTTTTTTATTTTGTTTTAGTTTTAGTTTTTTGAGGATTCTCCATACTGATTTCCACAGTGGTTGTACCAGTCTATACCAATAGTGGAGAAGGGTTGCTTTTTCTCCCCAACCTGTCAGCATTTGTTATTGGTTGATTTCTTGATAATAACCATTCATTTTGGAGTGAGATGAAATCTCACCATTGTTTTAATTTGCATCTGTCAAATTACCAGCAATATTGAACATCTTTTCATATATTTATTTGTCATTTCTACTTCATTTGAGAAATGTCTATTGATTTTAGATGCCCATTTTTGGATTGGGTCTTTAATTTAGAAGGTCTGATTTTTTGAGTTCTTTATATATTCTAAATATTAGTCCTTTGTCTTAGGAACAATTGGAAAAATTTTTTCCATTTTTTTGGGTTGTCTCTTCACTCTGTTGGTTTCTCTTGCTGTGCAAGAGTGTTTTAATAAGATCCCAATTGTTGATTCTTTGTGATATTTCCTGTGCAATTGGGGTTTTGCTCACAAAGACTTTGCCTATACCCATGTCTTTAAGAGTTCTACTAATTCTATCTTGCAGCAGATTTAGTGTTTCTGATTTAATAGTTAGATATTTGGTCCATTTAGATTTTAGTCTAGTGCATGATGAAAGATACGGGTCTAATTTTAATCTTGGCATTTGGAAAGCCAGTCTTTCCAGCACCGTTCATTAAAGAGGCTATTTATCTTGCAGTGAATGTATTTGGCCCCTTTGTCAAAGATAAGAATAGCTGAGCATGTACGGAGTTGTTTCTGCATCTTCTAATCTGTTTCATTGATCCTTCGCTGTTTTTGTTTTTTTTTTTTTTTTTTTTTTTTTTTTTTTTTTTGCCAGTACCACACTTTCTTTTTTCTTTTTTTTTAATCACAGTAGCTCTGTAGTATAATTTCAAGTCAGGGATTGTGATGCCCCCTTCCTCGCCTTAGTTTTCCAGAATTGTTTTTGCTATTCTAGGTCTTTTCTGGTTCCAAATGAATATTTTCTCTAATTTTGTGAGGTATACTATTGCTGTGTTGACTGGGATTCCATTACATGTATATAACAACTTTGGAAGTGTGGCCATTTACATTATATTGGTTCTTCTTACCCAAGAACAAGGGATATTTTCCCATTTTCTGATATCCTCTTGGATCTTCTTTTTTAGAGTACTGTAGTTTTCAAAGTAGAGATATTTTATTTCCTTTGTTAGATTTATTACTAAGCACTTAATATTTTTGCTCTTGTGACAGCTGCTGTTTCCCTAATTTCTCACTCAGTGAGTTTGTTATTTGTAGGCTATTGATTTCGGAGAGTTGGCTTTGTATCCAGCTACGCTATTAAATTCACACAAAGATTTCTAGTGTAAGTGTATGTGTGTATATTTGTCTTTTTTGAGACAGGATTTCACTCTGTAGTTCACGCTGGCCTTGACTCACTTTGTAGCCCAGGCTGGCCTCAAACTCATAGTGATCCTCCTGCCTCAGCCTCCCGAGTGCTGGGGTTACAGACGTGCACCACCATGCCCGTGTCACACAAGGATTTCTTAAACAGAACACAAGAGCTCCCACCATAAAAGAAAATATTGATAAGCTAGCTTCACTAAAGTTAAGAACTCTGTTCATCCTGAGGCAGGACACAGGAACTAGAGCTTCTCTTCTTGAAGCTGGGTCAAAGAAATTTCCTGATTTTCCTCCACCTTTAGCTGGCCATGAAAAATGCCATCCAGTAATAGGTCATAGAACCTTCCTCATTCCACATGGCTCTACTCCATAATCATGAGGAAGGAATGCTAAAGAATCTGAACAGACAGGCTTTGCTGGGGTTTCCCGCCCAGTCTATCAGCAGTCACACCTATACAGTGAAATTTCCATAAAATTCTCCAAAGGACCAGATTCAAAGAGTTTCTGTTCACCTGAACACATGGAAGCTCACAGCAAGGTGAAGAAGATTCACTCATACACCTTCTAGACCTTGCCCGGAGTACCCTCTTACCTGACTTCTTATATATGTCCTTTAAAATACCCCTTACAGCCAGGTGTGGTGGCACACACCTGTGACCCCAGCACTATGTGAGACTGTGGCAGGAGGATCACAAGTTTGAGCCCAGCCCAGGCAACTTAAGGACATGGTGAGAATTTGTCTTAAAATAATTGCTAGGGATACAGCTCAGTGTGAAGGCAGGGGTTCAATCTCCAGCCACAAATCCTTTACAGTGAGCCACTGTGGGCTACTCCAGCAAATCAACCAAATCTGTGAGAACACCAGTTTAAAGCCAGCTGGCCAGAAGCTCCAGAGGCCTAGATTTTTGAGTGGGTCTGAAACAGGAGCAGACCTGGGCACCAAATCCTCAGTCCAGGGCTTTGACACCATCTCCAGGTGGAACCCCAGTGGTGTCAGAGCTGAGTGAGGCTGGAGAACACCCGACTCGAATCTGCGGCAGACCTGCTTGCTGGCTTGCTGGTGGGGAGAAATCCCACACTTTTCAGGCTCACAGAAGTGGTATATTATAGGAGAAACTGAATTGGAGCATATTTTTCTACTTTGTAAGCTACACCTCAATTTTTAAAAAATAAGAGAAATGATTCACTTGAAAGTTGCACTATGCCTTGCAAGCAGGCAGTCGTGAGTTCGATCCCTGGTACCGATAAAAACGAAAAAAAAAAGAAAAAAAGACAAAAAAAAAAAAAAAAAAAAAAAAAAAAGAAAGTTGCACTGGAAATCCAGATGAGGTATTATTACCTCGAGCACCAAAATAGGACCGATTTATATTTTTAAAAGATGACTGATTTATGATACAGATACAGAGCACATTAACAAAACACACAGAGCTAAGATGCTTACACAACCTTATAAAGGTGGAAAGAGAGTCCTCGGGGAAGTGAACTTTCTCTTACAGCTCCGGAGAGGGCAGTGAGACGAAACAGATGAATGTGAGCAAGAGCCACAAATGTCTTCCCCTGTCTGCATCATTCTTAGCTGTAGCTGCAGCTAAAAGCTGGGCTGAGGGGTTGTGGTCCAGTGGTAGAGCACAGGCTTAGCAACACCGGGCACTAGACAAAGAAACAAAAAGTAGCTGATTTCTGTTTTTGTCCCTGAAGTGAAACTACAAAGTGAAGTTTACTACTTAGCAAGCAAAGATGACAGTCATGAAACAGGAGGCTCCCAGAGAAGCCACTGGAGCCACAGAAAGTGGCCACTGGCCTCAGCCGACTGGGAGGCTCCAGGCAGCACTTCCCTTACTCCCCACCTCTGCCTCCTGCTCTGCAGAGGCCTGGAGCTGCATCCTCTGTAACAAAAGCTTCATGTATTCCTACCACAGCAGGATTCTCACCGGGGCTGAAACGCTTGTCCTAACTCTTAACGCCAAATGGCCAAGACTCTGCAGCAGAAATGAGAACAGTCAAAAATCATGTCTTTGTGCTGGATGTGGTGGCACATGCCTATACTGTCAGCCCTTAGGAGGCTGAGGCAGGAGAATCACCTTGAAATCGAGGCCAGCTTGGACTACGTGGTGAGACTCTGTCCCAAGAAACAAAAACCAACCAAACAAAACAAAACCATGCAACTGGAAAAAGTCAAATGCAACAAGTAAGTAAACAACCTCCTGATGACACTGAAGTTATCACCACTAGAGAAATAAACCCACCCTATAAAAAGAAGTAGGGTTTTTGGAAATTTAAAGCATGACTGCTGATATTTAAAAAATACCTTGCAACAGATGACTGAAGAAGAGTAGAATGGGCATGGATGGAGGTCAAATTCACAAGCAGGAAGTTCACAAAATTGGATTAGAGCAATCTCCTGTATCCTGTGAATAAAGTTAAGAAAAGGAAGCAAATAACAAAAATACCGAGTCAGGAGGCTAGAGGCAAGTTGGTTTTTGTTTATTAAAAATTTTAACCAAAAATTCCAGAAAGGATACATAGAAAAAATTAAGGAACAAAATAATAAAAATGTTTTAATTTAATTTTTTTTTAAGTCTCTGCTGAAGAGAGGCTGAAGTCTACAAACTGAAAGGGCCCTATAAGTGCTGGGAAGGAATAATGAAACACTGTGTCCTCAGGAAACCTGAGTTCCTGGGATATCCCAAAAGGTGTGGGAGTGGGGAGAGAAGATCCAGGGCAACAGAAGCCTTTTTTTTTTTTTTTTTTTTTTTTTGCCAGTGGTGTGGCTCAAATTCAGGGCCTCACAAATATCGGGGGAAATGTTTTACCACAGACTACACCTCCAGCTCCCAGAGGACAAAATTCTGAGGGAAAATTATTTTGAATTCAGAATTTATACTTCATCAAGTGACACTTAAATATTCTGAATTCAAGATTCTATACTGGGTTCATCCACGAGAAAATGAGAGCAAAATTGGCGTGTACTCACATGTGCAAAGATTCACAAAGTTGTCATGTAGGGACGCTTTTTGCAAGAGCTACATGGAAATCCACCACCAGGGCTAAAAGCAGGAAGAAGAGAAAGAGGAAGCCATAGGCCACAAACAACACTGGTTAGCAAAGAAACCAATAAAACCTGTAGCTAAATTCCACTGCAAAATAACTGAAGAAAGTATGTTTTGAAGATTGTGTGTTAGCTGAGGTTGCTGATAATGAGCCCTCGCTGTCACCCTGCCTTTATCAGTGCATCTGGAGCGCTCAGCCCTCACAGCTGCTGGGCCTCTCCACTGTGGTGCTGGCCCTGTGGCTCTGCTTTTGAGGCCTAGCTCATTGTAGGGTGGTGGTTGGCTGCCAGGGTCCTCAGCTGATCCTGAGTCCGGAAGTGGGCTCCAGTGGACTTCCTGTCAGGGTTTGCGGAACAAACAGACCAAGAGCTGAGGCTTCCTCCAATGAGGCAGATAACTTTGTGTGTGAGAGACAGGCAGAGAGACAGAGAGACAGAAAGAGGTAGAGAGACAGAGAGAGAGAAAGAGAGGCAGAAACACAGAGATATAGACACAGACACCAACAAAGAGAGAACCTAAACCCTGTGTCACTTGGTATCATCCTCACTCCATCATCTAAGGTCAGGGAGGATGCATGTTATTTCTGCCAGCTCCTGCCTTATCCTGTCTGGTGGAGTCTGAATTTTGCCCCAAATCTAAATCCAAATCCTCCTGCTGCCCTAGGAGCTTTTGGGAGCACAGGGTATCTTGAGTTCCTTTTGGGTGTGCTTGCCAATGTGAAGTGAGGAGGAGGCCCCCATCGTAAAAGAAGAAGGAGCTGAGGATCTCTGCCTACTATGCTGAGCTGTTCCTTCCTGCCGTGCTTGTTTTGGTTTTCTGAGGACACTGGTGTTTTGGATGGGTGCTATGCTTTGAATATGACTTGTGTCAGTCGCATAGTCGTGGACGCCTATAATTCCAGCACTCATGACACTGAGGCAAGAGGAGGCTGGCTGAGTTCAAGGCCAGCCTGGCTACATAATGAGTCCCTGGCCAGCCTAGACTCTGGACTATGTAGCAATACCCTGTTTCAAGAAAAAAAAAAAAGAGAAAAGATTCGGCCCTTGTGAAACTCAGAGTTTAATCCCTACCATAAGGTATTAAGAGATTAAGAGTGGAAATATAATTAGAATATGATATTTTGAGGCCTTTGGGAAGTGATTAGAATTACATAGGATCATGGGGTAGAGCCTATCTATGATTGAATAGTGCTGCTTTTATGGGGAGCGGAAAAGAGACCAGAGGCCACACACACACACACACACATGTGCGTTCGCACACATGCTACCAAATCACCTGTGCTACTTCAGGGTGCTGCCAGAAAGGAGGCCTTCACCACATGTGCCCCTCAATCTTGGGCTGAAACTGTGAGCCAAGTCAGACCTCTCTTCTTTGTAAAATTGGAAAGAAAATTCTACCTTGTCAACAGAAGTGTGTCAGTAACCACAGAAAAGGGAAAAAGGCTGTGGGCTTCAAGTCAAGTTAATGGATTCTAGCAGAGCCCAGTGCTATAGCCAGCACCACAGTTGTGGCCCCAGGTCCACAGACTAAATCCAGGTAAGGTGTTTTTTTTTTTTTGTTTTTGTTTTGTTTTGTTTTGTTTTTTGTCTTTTTTTCCTTTTTACTGGTACCGGGGATCGGTACCAGTAAAGCGCCTTGCAAGGCAGGTGCTTATGCCACTGAGCTAAATCCCAGCCCCCAAGGTATTTGTTTTGAGCATGTGTTTTGAGGAGGCTGGGTGTGGAGAAGGCAGAGTAGTTCTATGTTCCTCAGAAGGCGATAGGGTCTAAAAATCATTGAGCTTCCATTGAGCTGTCTTTAATCCCAGCCCTAGGGAGACTGAGGTGGCACGATTGTCATGAGTTTGAGGCCAGCCTGAACTGCATAACAAGAGCCTGTCTAAATAAATAAATAAATAAATATATGAAAAGTCCATGTTTATTACATAGATATGGAAGCAGGGATAGTTCTCCAGGATGACAGGTCCCAAATCTGCTTGACATGATGGTTCCAGTCTGGGAGGAGTGCTGGGTCTCCTCTCATGGTGGCCTTCAAGTGTTCTCAGATGTTGTCAGCTCAGGGTAGGTGTGTGCGGGTGGAGGAGGCTATAAACAGAGAGACTGTTCCTTTCATCAGTTTCAAAATCGCAGGTTTTAAGCTGATACCGTTCACAAACTCCAAACATGTAAACCATTCCTGTTCATGCAGACTTCAAGCAGTCAGTCCAACACCAGAGTACATGAGGCTCTTGACAATGAGATAGTCAAGTCCTTCCTGAAAACAACCACATATAAACTGTCTGTGTATAATTTGCAGCCCTGCTGGTGGTCTTCCCAAACCAACTTCTAGGAAAAGCAAATAGTTTCTGGCCAGGAGTGTGGTCACCAGGCAATGGATTTTTCCAGGAGACACCTAGGATATTTGATGTCCATCCTGCCTGCCTCCTTCTCCTCTGGCCTTGTACCCAGATTGGAATCTACCAGGGAAACCCAAACTTTCTATCAGAAGCAGGCACTGTGAAAGGCAGCCTGGGGGAAGGTCCTGGGAAGAGCAAAGCAGTGTTCAGACTGAAAGCCTCCTATAGTATTTACCTCCCTGGCCCTCCACATTCCCAGGCTCCCGCAGCCCTCTCCAGGCTCTTCTAGGATTCCTTACATTTGTGTTGTAGATGGTGAGTGGAGGCAGGTATGGCAGTGTATCCCTGTCATCGCAGGCCTCTGGGAGGCATAGCCAGGAGACTCAGACGCAGGAGAATCCAAAGTTCAAGCACAGGCCAGGCAATTTAGCAACTTTGTAAAATCCTGTCCCAAAATAATTTTTTTTTTAAGAAAAAGACTTGGAGCTATAATTCAGTAAAAAGGCTCTGAGTTCAGTCCCAAGAACAGGAAAAAAAAAAAAAAAAAAAAAAAAAGCGTGGAGTGAGACTGAGGCTTCCAAGGGACTTTCTCTATAAATCGTATCCTATATGTGACGGGAGCCACAGTTGCTTTGGAAAGTCCTATATATTTGTGTGTCTGATAAAAGTTAGCATGTTTTTTTGGTGGGGTCTTTTTTATTTTACTATTTTAACCATTTTTAAATGCACAGTTGAGTATTATGTAATTTATACTGTGGTGTAACTATTGCCACTAACCACCCACAAAGCCTTTTTTTTCGTTTTGAAGAACTAAAATTCTATATCTGTTATGCATGACACCATCCCCCATCCTCTGGCACCCTGCATTCTACTGCCTGTCTCTATATTTTGACTTCTCTAAATATCTCATGTGAGTGAAATTATACAGTACCGTTCTTTTGTGAGTGGTCTCTTTAATTTAGCATAATTCTGCAAGCCTGCAGCATGTGTCAGAACTTCCTTTCTACGGCTGAATAATATTGAACCATATTTATCCATTCATTTGTCAGTGGACTTAGGTTTGCACTTACCCTTTGGCTATGGTAAATAATGTTTCTATTAATATGGGTGTACAAAATTTTTGTTATTACTGAATACTTTAGCAAGATACATTTAGACACAAGTCAATATTTTGTAACCTTTGATTGTGGGAAACTGGAGCAAACTTTCATTCTAAAGCTATCAGAAACTTCCTTCCTGGGCCTCCAAGGTAAGAACAATTTTGTTCTGGAAGGACTCTTTTTTTCTTTTTGTCTTTTTCCTTTTCATCGGTACCGGGGATTGAACTCACGACTGCCTGCTTGCAAGGCAGGTGCCTTATGCCGCTGAACTAAATCCCCAACCCCTGGAAGGACTCTTTTTAGGAGGTGGTCTGGATCATGTGAAACTGTTCCAGGCTATTCAGGATCACATTAAGTACTGGTCAGCAGTCTCAGTAATTTAGGTGGAACTGAACACCACAGGAAGTAAGAGAGTAAATTGGTATAAAAAAGCTTTTAAAACATGAAGTTAAAATGATCTTTAACAGTGTGGAAATTAATAATTTTTCTTATGAGGCCAGGAAACTGATACTTGTGTGGCTGACAAAGGAGAAAATATGATTAACAATATGTAGAAAGGAACAAAACAGAATGTTTTGAATTGCTAAGAAGTGTACTTTGCATTTTCTTCCATGATTCTTACATAGTGGTTCTGAATTAATTTAAACTACTGTGAAATTTGCATATTACATTAATATGTACAATAGTAACTTAAAGTGTACATATTTTAGTGACATATATTTTTTTTCCACTCTAACTTCCTTCTCCCATGGTAGAAATTTTGGTGAAGGACACGTGGCAAAGCCAATCCAATGTAATTCTTCAAAGCTACCTGGCTCATTGAGGGTGTGCCTGCCTGTTTAAAAGCACTGTTGCATATACAATTTGGCATGGGGATGTGTCTGAAAAGGGGAGAAGAAAACAAATTGTTTTTTCCTTTTGTAATTTTACACTCAAAACAGAACACTGGTGATCAGATGTCAGGGAGTTTCCCTCCACACATTGTTAAAAGAAAAACTTAGACAAATTAAATTTGCAGTGTTTTATTGTTTTATTGAGCAAAGAATCATGAATTGGGCAGCCCTCATAACCAGAAGAGCTTCAGTGGGACTCTAGGGCTGTCATGTGCCTGGGTAACTTAGAGAGGAAAAGAGAAGTGAGCTACTGAAAAACGGAAGTAAGGTACAGAGCCGGCTGGATTGGCTCCAGGGTAGCAATTGTCTTTTATAAACATAGTTTGAACACTTGGCCATCTGCAATTGACTGAGACTCAGTTGCTGGGATTGGCTGAGACTCAGTTACAAAGGCGCATTAAGTTGGTTTTCAGTTTGTTTACACACTAAATTAAGCTACAGTTTGGTACATAGGACTGGCCCAAATTTAGTTAGATTTAACGCCATCAAGCAGTTTTCCAGCAGACACCAGCTGGCTGTCCTGTAATTCAGTTCAGTTCTGACACCTATCTACCCTGTGCCATAAACCTACGCCCCCACTTCAGATGACAGTGTCAAGTGCCAGCTTGTGACCTGCGTTTCTGACTAGCTGAACCCCATTCTGGAGTTTAGTAGATTGCTAAGATGTTTTACAAAGCTCAGAAAAACACTTATGTCTATTACAATGGAGATTATAAAAGATACAGGTGAACAGCCAGGTAAAGAGATGCAAGGTATGGTGGTGGAGTGGAACTTCCTTTCCCTCTCTGGGCCTATTACCCTTCTAATGTCTCTACATTTTAGTGATCCATTCACAGCATATCAAACCTCATGGTGGGTACACGCATGCGTGTAATCCCAGTGTTTAGGAGGCTGAGGCAGAAGGATGACCTCAAGTTCATAGCCAGCCCGGGCTACACAGTGAGTTCAAGGCCAGTTTGAAAAAAGTATCAAATCTCATTGTTCAGGAGTTTTTACAGAGCTTTACCTTCAGTCCCTCTTTCCTAGAGTTTGGTGAGTGGGGTTGAAAGTTCCAACCCTCTGATCACTTGGTCTTTCCGGGGATGAGTTCCATCCTCAGCCTTTTTGAAGGGACCATGTAAGTCAACTTATTAGCATAAACTCAGGTATTATAACAGGGGCTCATTATGAATTACCAAAGATACTACTACATTCAAGAGATTTCCAGGGCTTTAGTAGCTCAGTGATAGGAGTCTGGGCCAAAACCAAACACTGTGTCTTTTATACCAAAGTGTAGCTTTGACTGTTACCTCAGTATCTGGGAAGGGCAGAGAGAGGTTCAGGACTCGGGGTGATGGTGGTGCCATTTTGAAATCAGGAGTCAAAATTCTTTGATGAAGGGGTTAAAATATAAATGCCATTGAAGAAAGCATGCTTTCCAAACTCTCTTTTAGAAGTTGTTGGTATTTTTGCCAAGAACAGTTTTTTTTTTTTTTTTTTTTTTGTCTTTTTCACTTTTATTGGTACCGGGGATTGAACTCACAACTGCCTGCTTGCAAGGCAGGTGCTTATGCCACTGAGCTAAATCCCCAGCCCTGCCAAGAACAGTTTTAATCCTGTTTTCTCATCAGTAATCTCACTGCTCTAAATTTAAAACTACTTTCATACTCTGTTTTAACTCTCATGACAAATACTGATAAAGAGATGATCTTTCATGTTGTCATCCAATAAACTGGACCCTGGATGAATAATAAGTACATTTAAAACATTTTTTGAATGAGTAAATAAGGTCTTGACTTTTGGGCCGGGGATTTAGTTCAGTGATGTAAGTGCCTGCCTGGCAAGCACTAGGTCATGAATTCAATCCTGATAATACCAAAAAAAAGTGGGGGGCTGGGAATTTAGCTTAGTGGCAGAAGGAAGCGCCTACCTTGCAAGCCTGAAGTTGTGAGTTTGATCCCTGGGACCAAAAAAAATAAAAAGATCTTGACTTCTGTTTTTGGTGGTCCCAGGGATCAAACTCACCACTGCGCTTGTCAGGCAAGTGCTTACGCCACTGAGCTAAATCCCAAGTCCTTAAAACATTTTTTGAAAGCAAAAGAAATGAGCCCATAAAAAGAGATATTTTCCTGCAGTAACAGGGATTGAACCCAGGACCTCACACTTGCTAGGTAAGTGCTGTGCCACTAAGCTACATCTCCAGTCCTTATTTTTATTGTATTTTGAGATGTCTCACCAGATTGCCTTGGCTGGCCTTGAATTTTCACCCTTCTTGCCTTATCTCAGTTATAGTCATGCATCACCATTCCCAGCAAAAATAATTTTTGAAAGTCACTCAGTATGATGTAGAACGCACAGTAACATGGATTGTGTTAAAGTACAATTCTTTGGGATGGGGATGTAGCTCAGCAGCACAAGCACCTGCCTGGCTCAGTACCAAGAGTCCTGAGCTTGACTCTTGGTACAAAAACAAAAGTATCATTCTTCAAAATACAACTCAAGCTGGGGATTTAGCTCAGTGGCTCAAGCGCTTGCCTGGTAAGTGCGAGTTCATGAGTTTGATCTTTGGTACAAAAACAAAAACAAAAGCAAAAACAAAAAACTGTAACTCATGCAAAAATAAAATCTATCTGATGGGCACGATGTACAGATGTAATTCCAGTACTCTAGGAGGCTGATTCAGAAGAACTGCAATTTGAGTACAACCTGGGCAATTTAGTGAGACACTATCTCAAAAATAAATCAATAAGTGAGTAAAAATAAAAAAGGGCCGGGGATGTAGATTAGGGCAAAAGCCTGGAGTTCAATCCACTATCGAACAAACAATCTAAGATCCTGTCCAATTAATGATTCAGTAAGATACTGATTTCAGGGGCTGGAGGTTTAGCTCAGCGGCATAAGCACCTGCCTTGCAAGCAGGCACTCGTGACGATAAAAAGGAAAAAGACAAAAAAAAAAAAAAAAAAAAAGATACTGATTTCAAAGGAAAACTGGTAAATATATTAAGGTTCAAAGGAAATTTGAAATTAGGGTGATGATAAAAATTTTTTTGAACTCGGAATTGAATCGAGGACCTTTACACAGAGCTACACCCTCAGATCTTTCCATTTTTATTTTGAGAGAAGACCTTGCTAAATTACAAAGTTGCCCAAGCTGGGCTCAAACCTGGAATTCTCTTGCCTGAGCCTCCTAGAGAGCTGGAATCACAGGCAGGAGCCCATGAAATGTGTTTGCTGATAGAAGCCAAACTGGTTAACTACTTAGTATCACTAAGGCCAAAGTAATTACTGAGTTTCTTATATTTTACCTGGTGTAAGTCACTTTTATTTCTACTAGGAAACATGTGTTTTCTTTGCTATAGGCAAGCCACTGTTGTGTTATCATGTCTCTATAAGTTAACTTCTACCCATGGAGATGGAAAATAGTCCAGTCAGAGGGCATCTTTGAGGATACAGACACTTTAGAATCAGAGAATCTCATGAGGTTCTACTAAACAGCACCCAACCCAGCACCAAACTGAAAGGACACCCAGGCATCTCTCACTCATTTCCATGTTTTGGACACTTTTCCTGACCTCATCAATGAAAACCAAATGTATGTACAGTAAGTCCTTGACTTAGGAAGGAGTTCCTTTCAGGGAGAACGTGATTGTAAGTTGGATTCTTTCCTAAGTACGATGAAGTGAATCCTATACACCTTTCACACAAATATACAATGTAAAGGATAGAAACCGGACACACAGATACTGTAAATAAACTATTTTTACTTCACAGTTGCCTTAAAATGGTGGCACACTATAACCGGTGTGGAGAGGGCTGCATGGAGTGAATTGGTAAGAAGAGAGGGACTAACAGGAGGAGGGAGGTGAGGTGGGAGATGGTGGAGTTGAAGGATCATTTTCAATAACAGATGCAGGTAAAATGGAATTTCACTCACACAGGGTGTTTGTTTGCTTGCTTGCTTTCTGAGACAGGGTCTTGCTTTGTAGTTTAGGCTGGCCTCAAACTCGCAGCGATCCACGTGACTCAGGCTCTGGAGTGCCACTGCATCTGGCTGACCCAAGATTTTGGAGAAATTCCATTGTTGACAGTCTTAAAAAAAACGATCGAGGGCTGTCTGAGTAGTGTTACACTATCACACTGTGCAGCGAGCACCCAGCAGCGCAACTGTGACTACACCGAACAGACGCATGAGCTACTTCTGCAATTTGTTCCCATCTGTGCAAGTTCGCAGGGGAGGTCCTTTGGTGTCTGTGAAAGTTCCCAACTCTAAAGTTCATAAGTTGGGGACTTACTGCATACATTCATATATGTTTACATTTAATTATTTTGGAAGGGATGTGGAGGATGGAGGTATAGGTTGGTTAAAACGAGTCTTAAGTGAATGGTTTATTTGTTGAAACCATTACACGATATCAAAGTTCATGGAGAACTGACCTCACCAATAAATTATTTAAAAAGTAAACTGCCACATCCGCACTATCCATCTACTTTCTAAAGCAGGCTCCTATCTGCTGCATAAAAATAATTTGCTGCATAAAAATAATTTTGCAAAAAGCCTGCTACAAAAGTCTAGGAGGTTTATTTTTAATGATTCCTTTGTAAGGCTGCACAAGTTCCGCCCTTACATGGGTGTGTGTGGCTGTGGTTAGATTTTGGGCAAGCTCATGGTAGAGAAAGCAGCTAAGATGTGGGGTGAAGGGTGGGTGTCCTGCACTGGATGAAGGGACAGACATCCTGAGCTCAAAGCCTTCACTCTGGATACTCCCTCTCCGGTTACCCCAGCGTGCAAGTCCCTGTATACAGACCTCTATCTCAGTAGTTCCCATCACCGACTCAGTTATCCAAATCAGAAACCTAAGTAATGTCTGTCATTTTTCTTTCCTCCTTTTTTCCATAAATCCAGTGGCTTCTATTTCTGAAGAGCCTCATTTTCCACTTCTCTGCAAACTCCCTTGCCAGCACCCAGCGCCCCCTCAACATCTCCTCTGTCTGGGCTCCAGCAGCAGCAGCAGCCCTCAGAGGCTTCCTCGAGGAGGCGACAACCACGCCCGATCACTTCTCAGCAGCCTCCCTCGCCTGGTTTACGAGGATTTATTTACCTCTCCAGTAAACTTGTTTCTCTTCAATCATCCATGTCCACCCTAAGAGGGTCTGCACCCCACTTTTAGTTCACACTCCCTGGGCTTGGTCTCTGCGCCGCCTTTCTCGCCCCCTAGGTTTCTCCTCGACGTCCTTCTTGTCTTTTTGGCCTCTGACTTCCACCCCGACGCCGCGAGGTGGGGTCTCCTGGGGGCTGCCAGCTGCTCGCCAGCACACGCAGTTCCCCGGGCCAAGGGTCTCGGCCTGAGAGGTCCAGGCCAACGCTTCCCGAACTCCCACCTCTCCCAACTCCAAGAGCTGCTCTTCTTGCGCCCTGCACCCCGCTTCCTCGTCCTCCCCGGGGCTCCTTCTGGAGCTGTCAGAGGTCTGGGGTCCCACACCCCACGCGCGCGCGGAAGCCGCCTGCTCCCCAGCATAAGGCCGCGCTTTCCTTGGGTCACGGGGGCGCAGCGACCTCCTTCGGACGGCGACGGCGGTCCCGACCCACGTGGCGCCCGGGGCAGCGTGGGGCAGCGGGCGCGGCTCCAGGCGCCAGGTCGGGCGGGTGCGCGCCCCGGACCCCGCCGCGCCGTCGCCCCCCTGCGCGGCGCCGGAAGCGGCAGGGCCGGCCCCCTCTTATCTCGCGCCTCGGGGGCCGGGTCGGGAGAGGCGGAGGACGACGGCGACGGCATGGCCCGGGGCTCCCGGGGTGCGCGCCGCCTGCTGCAGCTCCAGCTGCTGCTCTGCCTGACGCTTGGCGGGACCGCGGCGCCCAGAGCCGACGGTGAGTGACAGGGGTGCGGCCCGCCTGCGGGGTCCCTGGCGGGGTCCTCGGGGACTCGGGGTGCGCTCAGGACGCTTCCCCGCCCCAAGGCCGCGCCAGCGCGGAGCCCGGGGAGTGCAGGTGGGGCGGGCTCTGGCTGTTTGGGACCGCGAAGGCGGAGCTCATGGAAGCAGGAGGGGCTCCCCGCCCCGCCCCGCCCGGAGCCGCAGAGCTCTGGATTTGCGGGGTGCGCGACACGCGCCCCCTTGGGGCTGGCTGCAGCCGGAGCGTGTGGAGCGGTGGGGGCTGGGCGAGCCCGCGCGCTGTGGGCAGGGACTCGCTGCATTGTCACGCTTCCGGCTCTGCTCTATGTGACCAGCTCGTGACCTGAAGCAGTTTTCTTTTTACTTACAGTTTTTCACTTCGATGAATAATTGGGTGTTATGTTGAGAAAAGTGTAAGGAAGTTTTCAGGCATAGACAGCATTATTCATTCCTTCATTCATTGACTAGACGGCCGTCGAGTAGCTTCTTTGGGCAGAATGTGAGCAGCATGGCGCTGGCCCTCGCTGAGCTGATGATCTGGAGGAAGACAGACAAGCAAAGGTTCCATTTCTAGGCATTTGGTAGTTGTAGGTGTCTTTTTTCCTCTTCTGCAAAATACAGTGTTGACCGTGGTTGGAGCTGAATCCTTACAGAGAGGGTTCAGAAAGTAGGGGAGGTGACGTTCGCCCACATAACCGAAGAGGAGGCCGAAATGACAGACGAGCTCAGGGAAGGCGAGGGTGATCCAAAGAGGGAAAGCTGACATCTGGCTGAGGGTTGGCATCCAGGATGACGTGACCCTTCGGCTGGACCATCAGGGATTTGGGAAAAGAGAAAGATAGCAGAGGACAGACAGCCATATGGAAATGTGTGAAGAATGAGTGACTTCTACACATGGAAGCATTGGGACCTGTAGCTCAGTTTGGTTTGGAAGAGATGGATGAGAAATGAGGATAATTTCATCAGAAGCAGAAAAAGGCCGTGGACTTTACCGCTCCTGGGTGATGGGAAGCCGTTGCACGTTTTTTTTTTTTTTTGTAAGAAGTGATAATAAAAAACATAAGTAAAGACACCACCTCCCCTGGCCACAATTTCCTTACTAAAACTAAACATGGATCCAGATGTGGAAGAGGATTTCCACGCTCAGGTTCCCATACCCTCACATTCTCTCTGTGACTTAGCATTTATGATTGGTGGGCATTTCTGTTGATGGCTCAGCCTTCTGGAATCACCCTTTTTGAAACATCCTGGTAGGCTTTTATTCTTCCCTACTTTGATATCCCATGGTGATATGCATAAAAGCTTGTTGACGCTAGAGGCCTATTTCTAGATCTTCGTGTGGAGATTGTCTTGCCGAGCAAACTGTCCATAGCGATTCCGTGAAGTTGTTGGGCTAACACAGCATCACACAAGCTCATTTCCCTCTTCTCTGCCCCTCTTTCTTTGGTGCTGGGGATCCATCCTAGGGCCTCTACATTTCTTCTAGCACTGAGCCCCGCCCCTGCCCATGAATTTGGGGAAAGGGAAGGCAGGGTGCCTGGTTGCTCTCCTCTCCTTGGGCAGACATTGTCTCTTCATTTACAACCTTGGAGAACCTGGTTTTATGAAAGGCTGGATCCTGACTGTGGACAACGTGGGGGAAACCCTGGAGGCTTAGAGCCTTTTGAGGCAGCTGTTGGAAAAGCTGGTTTAGCAGGTTCAAGGAGGGGCCTCCCAGTGGGAGAAGAGGGCTAGATGTGGATGATGAGGTGGGAATGGCACTGGAAGCAAGGGTTTAATCTTGGATGTAAAGGTGTAATGGGGCAGTACAGGAAAGGTACACTAAGGTTTTGGGACTGGGTTACGTGGATCCTTGGTTCTGAGACAGGACAAACTGCTAAACCTTGTGTTTTCTTCTAAAGCAGTCAGAGACTTCAAAGCTGCTTTAGCTAAAAACAGTGACTCTTGGGGCTGGGAATTTAGCTCAGCGGCATAAGCGCCTGCCTTGGAAGCAGGGAGTCGTGAGTTCTATCCCTGGTACAAATAAAAAACAAAACAAAACAAAACAGTAACTCTTCACTTGGGCCAACAGGTACCTTATAGGTAACTAAAATAGAGCAAAGCTTGACCTTCATTCTGTAGCTGTTTCTTATATTCCTTTAAAATTTTGGGTCAGATCGCCACTCAGATCTGCATGTAGGCATGTTAATCATTTGGGAGTGGGGCTGGAGGTTTAGCTCAGCGGCATAAGCGCCTGCCTTGCAAGCAGGCAGTCGTGAGTTCGATCCCCCGGTACCGATAAAAAAAATGAAAAAGACAAAAAAAAAAAAAAAAAAAAAAACCCAAAGGAAGAAATCATTTAGGAGTATCTGTCTAACAGCTGGCAATGCAGTTGATTAGTTTAAACTTACAACTTACATGACCTGTCTCATCCCTCTTGAAGAGTGAGGACATCAAGACATTTATGGGGACATTCAACGACCAGTGAGTGTCCAGAAATCACCAGTCATTTCCCTATACCTAAAGTAATCTTAGATTCCAACAGAGACTTCACAAAGCTGAGACTTCCCCAAGCAGAAATAATCATTCCATGGAGAAGAGGTTAAGTAATAAGGATTTCTTTAGAGCCATTTGTGATAGGGATTTTCGGCGTGGTTAGAGAGATGGGAAATGTAAAGTAAAAGTGACTTTTATTTTAAGGATGTGGAGAGAAACTCCATGACTGCCAAGGCCTGGTTTTCTCTGAGCGACACATGGTGTGGGGGGCATACATATAGCTTTGGTTTGGGGTCGGTGCCTAAAGTGGCATTGCTGACGCCCAAGCAGCCCATTAGAATTCATTTCGTGCCACAGATAAATTGCCTAGAGGCGGGGAAAATGACCTCAAGGTAAACGTCCCTTGGTCCCACCCCTCACTGCTGTAGTGTCCATCTAGGGCAAAATCCTTTCTTTTTTTTTTTGTTTGTCTTTTTCTTTTTTTATCGGTACCAGGGATCGAATTCACGACCACACACTTGTAAGTCAGGTGCATATGCCTCTGAGCTAAATCCCCAGCCCCACCTTTCAGTTTGTGTAAAGTCAGAACTGAGATCATGATCAACCAGACCTTAGCTTACCTCAGTCCCACTTTATTTCCTCAGCTCCTTTAAAAAAAAAAAAAAAAAGAAATCTGGCCTATTTCTTTGTTAATGAGCCAGTCTGATCCTCTAAAAGAGCTAAGTTCCATTCAACTCTTCAAGTCCCATTCAACTCCTTCCATTTTTCTCTTACTTTGTAACTTGACCTAATAAATCTGCCTATGCCACTTCTGATGTGTCCTGAAATGTTTTTCTGTGGTAAGCATCAACCTGCTCCAGCTGTGTGAGGTCTTCATCACTTCATTTGAGGGGTTTTGCTCAGGGACCTATCTGGTGACCGATCTATGGAGCAGAAAAAAGATTTGGAAAGAAAGGTGATGAGCTGTTTTGGATGTCTTGAATTTGGAGTACTGTTGTGACTTTTGGACAGGTGAAAATAGGAGTTAAGGGGGATGGGTTGTGCAAGTGACATAGACTTGAGGGTCACTTGAAGCCGTGCAGTTGACAGGTTAACATCAACAACAGGTTTTTGGGGAAGACCAACTGTAGATAGATGGTAGCTGCAGAGAGGAGAAGGAAGTAGCTAGCTAGCTAGTTTGGAATTTGGGTGTTGAGGAAGCCATAGAAAGGTCAAAGGTTTTGGACTTGGTGACTGGCCAGGGGTACCAGCAGGAAAGCAGTGAGGCCAGCAGCCAGAAGTAGGGACATGAGAGAAAGAGACTTTGGCTCCAGAGCCACCCCCCCTTATTTATTTATTTAGTCATACTGGGGATTGAACACAGGGGCTTTGCACTGAGCTATATTTTTATTTTGAGACAGGATCTTGCTAATTTACAAAATTGCCCAGACGGGGCTTGAATTTGTGATCCTTCTGCCTCAGCCTCCTAGAGTACTGAGATTACAGGTGTGCTCTACCAAATTTGGCTAGAATCAGAGAAGTTGGAAGAAGAAGAGGGCAAGGTGCCATTCATTTGGGTTGGCCAGATCACTACAAGAGGTTTTTGGGGTTAAAAGCTGTTATTCAGTAGAGAGGGAGGGAAATTGAAAATAAAAAAATAAGTGGCCACTCCTGGAACCCACATAAAGTTGGGCTATAAATAGGAGAAGTTCACCTCTAGAAAGGGTGTGGAGGGGAACTGCTCTTTGCTTCCTCCCCAACTGTCTACTTGGAGAATGCTGTTCATATTTCAAAACCGGCCTGCTGCTCTCACTTCTGGGAAGCCCGTTAGAGCTCTGCCCTTCTCTTGGCAGCACCAGTGGCACTGCTGGGGCCTCTGTTGTACACTTACCCTGTACTGTGAGCTCGTTGTTTATTTTTAAGTTATTTTGGTTTTTCCAGACAGGGTCTCACCAAATAGTCCAGGTTGGCCTTGAACTCTCTAGGTGGCACAGGCTGGCCCTAAAGTCAACATCTTCCTGCCTCAGCCTCCTGTTGGCTAGACAGAGCGCCTTATGGGAGGAGTTGTTGCTTGAATTAGGAATGTAATGTGGAAGTAAACAAGGATCCCCCAAATGAGAATCAGCCAAAGGTATTAATTCAGAGTTGGTTGCAGCAAGAGAGTCAGCCACCATCACTGGCCCAGGTAGAGACTCTTAGGCAGGCAGGGGTGGGAAGGCTTTCTAGAATATCCAGAAGAGGGCTTCGGATGTGCCCAGATGGCAGAAATTGGGCTTCACATGCATCCCATGTCCTTGAGGGGAGCATAAGTTGCTCTGTCTGCTTGATCCTAATTTGGAAGTGAAGGGAAAAGTTAGGGAAGCTGGCCATTACTAAGTCCTGACCATTGGGGCTGCTCCAGTCAGAGGCTGTGGTTCGCATTCCTGGGCTGAGGGCTGCAGATTGTGGGTCAGATTCTATTTTTATCTATGGTTTGGCCAGCGACTGTTTGTACATCTAGTCCTTCCCTGGTAGTAAGCAGTG